TGCTCCTACTAAAAGTAATAGGTCACGCCTTTGAAGTGTTACCCGTGACTTTTCTCTGAATTTAAATTCCGATTTTTATTTTTATATCTTCAAAGCAGTTTTAGTTTTTATTTCTAGTAGACAGACAAATTGAAAAGCCTGTAGATGCTGATCAACTACTGTCAATTACAAGGAACTCAAACACCGTGTATCATTGTGAGTATCTTCTAATTTAAGTATTAACAGTTTAACTAATTTTTATTTCCCCAATTCATTAACATCCAAACACCTTGCCTGCTTACCAACTTATCGCTTTACTCATCAATTTTTAACATTATTTCAACTCTTTTTTTTCTCTTTCTCCTCGTTCCAGCTCCCTGTCTTTCGTATTTCCAAACTACCTATTAATTGACTCATCTTACAAATCATACCTTTCGTTTACTTAAAATCAGTGTGATATGCCATGTGGATATATTGTCTGGCAAAGTTGTCTGGATTGCTTGTAATATGGAGCTAGTAGAGAATGTTAATTCCGATAAGATGTACAAAAAAATCGAGAGTAGACTAGAGACCATTATTCACAATCAACCATTAAACGTAAGAGGGCCTAACATCACAAAAGGAGGGAGGGTGGTGTATCTGACCAGCATTCATGACGGTGGGGCGATAACCTCAATCTACCCATGTCTGTGTGGCAGAACATTTTGTTTGCTTACGGCTCCTTACGATATAGCAGGATGTAACAAATCAGTGATATTGATGTTACTTTTCCTAGTTAACCTCGTCTACAACTCATGTCTGTAACCTTGCACTGGTTTTTACTTCCTACCGAGAAATCCTATTACAAGCTGGTCTGGACAACTATACTAAAAAAGAGCTCATACATAACTTCTTGAGCCGCAGAGTTAAAAATAAAAAGAATAAATAAAACAAAAAAATTATTTCACTGAGCATCTTTATCATATTTTGTAAATCAACATTATTACTAACAACTTGGTTCTTCTGAATTTCCTCTATTCATTCGACTAACTTCGCATTAGTTATCTCACTACTGAATTGTCTTCACATGAATTTTGTGAAATGTTTCAGTAACTGTATACCGTTTTGAAAGAAATATGTTTCTAATCTTAACATTTTGATCTTGCCTGTAAATTGGCATGTTTCTTGTAACATGTTTGTTATTTGAGAATAAATTATCATTATTATTATTATTATTATTATTATTATTATTATCATTATTTGGTTCGGATGCGTGATCAGACGTTTTCATATGGAATGTTCCCAGTAAAGCTAATCAGATCAGCTTTAGGAATGTATATACAGCTACAACTTACTATCTTCAGCAATTATTATGGTGAATTTTGCATATTAGCTGTTACGACGAAGAAGGATACAATGATTCTCATTCTGTCAGAAACAAAAACTTAGGAAGGTAGATGGTTTCGCTGCCCCACGCTTCAAGTGACAGAAATTAGGAAACACGCAGAAAAGCAGTCGTAAGTCTAGCTCTTTTTTCAGAAAGGAAACAATAAAATTCATTAATTTAGACCTTAAGTCACCATTGATCACTCGAGGTTTCATAGCGTGAGTATCGTAATCGTGACCTTCAGTGGAAAATGATGAATGAGAACAAATGAGAAATAACAAACGATCTTAAGTCGTTTGACGTAAGTTGAGTGTGGTGTTTGAATTAACTAGTGACTTCTTGTTGTTGTTGAATGCTTGATTTCGAATTCTAAATACAGTACATTCGTTTGTGCTTATCCCGTAGTTCTTGATTCACATACTTCTAATCATCATATTGAGATACTGAGGGATGAGCGAACTGGGTGGTCAGTTATCTTTCACTCAGTCAAGGACAAGGCGAGCTCCGAGTATAAATGAATTTCTACAGTGGCCGTTCCAATGGGTTCCAATAGGTGCACTCCTGTACGATTCTCCCAGTCCCAGGTCCAGACAAATCAAAAAGGACAAAAATTCTAGGAGAAAGCGTCTTATTTAAATAGAAACATGGAAATGCAAAGCATTACCTGGAAATAATGCCTCTTCCAGGATACAGTTACTCCGAAGAGTATCAGAAACAGTGATAGATAAGTGACGCTAAGTCCAGCGGCCACTGCATCAATCCAAATATGGCTGTAGCCATATTAAAGATCAAATTTAAACAACATATATACAGATAAGAAGCAAATACAAAAACTTCAATATAAGTACAAAATATAGAAAGAATAACAATGTACAATGATAAAATCTCAAATTGGAATCAAATAAAATACCAAAATGTCAACAGAAAAAGTCCGTCATGTCATAGCAAAAATATGTAAACATGGAGGGATTTTCCAAAACACAAAACATTCAAAAAGGATTCTACACCGAGCTCAGAACTCTCTTCGAAAATGACTCCGGATAGCTATCGCCTTGGAATATTTGTGGGGTGACTTATCCCAATATTCATAGATTCGGCAGTCAAACGAACTCACAAGAAAACTAAACCAGGCCGTTTAATGTAGTATTTAAATCTCACACTGTAACAGGACTCATTTCTATAAAACGGATACCAACTTGTGATCATGAGTTCTTATCCATGGACTTGTACAAAAAATAAGATGGGTAAACACGGACTTCAACTCAGGTTAGATGTTGTCAAAGAAGATTTAAGAACCGCGAAATTTCAGTTGGTGAGGCATTGTCACAACCACTTTTTGTCCTGAACGAACCCATTTAATTGATCTTTGGATATTTTAGCACCTCACATATATTTTGTACTTTTATAATTGTTGAGCTTGTATGCACATGTACGCTCGGGCATTACTTACCACCTACACGTATAGTTATTTGACTATCCTATAATTACCCACAGCTTACTCAACAACAGATTGAAGTAAGTTGTACTGATGGAGTATGCTAAGCAGAAAGTAATCGCCGTCATACACACCTGATTTAGCCAATAGAAAATATGAAATGTGAGTTTGATAATTTCACATTTGCTTGTCTCAGCCAAACATTTTAAAATGGAACACATCGTGAGTTTCTTAAATTACATTAGTGAATCCCAGGAATACACCACCATCAGTAAAGAGATTCGGAGTAGAAGAATTTCGAAGAGATTTAGCGTACTGAGCACTCACGAGAAAAATTCTCCCTCACGAAAACCAAGATGTTAGTGACTTGATATTGCGTGGGTCTAGAGTATTGTTAGAAGAAAGGCTTCCTAATGATTTGATAGAATATACATGGAATTTAAATTTCCACTGTCTTTATATATAGTAAGTCAGTATAAAGAATGCAGTATGTCTTTATTCTTATCTTTTTGAGCTGCATCCATCTAATCCATCTAACCTATTAACTTTGTTTCCTATCCGTCGCTCACACTCATGTCCTGTTGCTCAGTCTTCACTACCATTAATTTAACTTATTTAATCCGTTTATTTATTCAGTTCTGAAATCTTATTAGCATTAGATTCTTCTTCAGCTTATATTACAACTGACTGATCTCCGGTTTCATAACGTGATAGCTGCTGCTAACCAGAAACCTAACTACCCTGAAACAAACGAACTCATCCAAATCAAACGACGTGCAAATTCACAGCAGTTGCCAACTGACCAGAATTAGTGCAGTCAAGTGGTTGGACCATCATAAATTGGACACTACCAACTACCTGGAACAGTGCCAAGAGAACAAGAATCTTGCGCGAAGAAATCCAATGATTTACACTGGCTGATTGTTAGGATTTGGGACACTGAATTTCATTTTTACTAGCTCTTGAAAAAGATATCGGATGTTGTAAATGAAAGTTGTGCCAACTGAGAACCGAAAGTTTCCTGAATAAAACACAAGTTACTTAGCCTCTTGCTCTTTCCAAATTATAGATGACTTATCCCCTTCCGTACACTAATTCAAGCAAATCAAAACGCGAGCATCCCATTCAGGAATGGACAGCGAAAACGGTTTAAAACTCGACCAACCGAAGTGCCGGGTCATATATATTCTGTCCCACATGACACAAACGATTTACACCATCCATGGAAGACCACTCCCCAATGTCTCCTCAGAGCGCAGTGTCGGTTTAATAACCACAGAAAGCCTCTACACCAAATGGAACTAAATAGGGGACGCAGTCAGGGCTAATGCAACTATTCACTTTATGCGAAGACAACTTGGTGACACCACCCCTGAATGATCCTAACACTGTTTAAGACATATGGATGCCCACACCTTCAGGTTCACAACGTCATCGCACCCCCTCTGCTTAAGAGTGACATAAATCTCTGGGATCGAGTACAGAGACGAGCAACCAAATGGGTGATAGGTTTGAAAAATAAACCTTACGAAGATAGACTGAAGCACTTGGGATTATTTTCACTGAGTTACAGGAGAATCAGAGGTGGTCTGGTTATGTCGCACAGCATATTAAGTACGCCAAACTATCCCAAAGTGAGCATCTTACCGATGCCTCACCACCACTACCCACAAGGTAATCCTCGAAAGATTGCACATCAGAGAGTGAATACTCAGGTTTGCGCACACTTTTTCTCATTGAGAGTAGTCGCAACTTGGAATGCTCTCCCAACTGAGGTGACTACAGCCCCCTCAGTAGACTGCCTTAAGAAGAGACTTGATAATCACGTACTCACATGCTGATTATCATCTCCCTCTTGGACAAGCTGTTCATGATGCATATCTTGAGACCTGCTAGTTGTTATCATTGCCATCTCCTCAGATCACATACTTAATCTATCTCGCTTATTATCTCTGTTTCCTCTCCCTTGCTTACACTTCGGTCCTCTATAACAATCTTCACTGCTAATTAATAAACCAAATCATCTATATATTACTTGGTTCTAAAATTTATTCATATTAAAATTAGAATTATATCCTTATTACCCTTATTATTTTCCACATTGCAACTAAATGATCTGGCAATGTGAGAGTTTCTGGTATCAAGGATCCCTGCTGCCCTGAAACAAACGTTTTCATTGAAATCCCGAGACATACAAATTCGCAACCAATTGTCAACTGACTAGATTTAGACAGTTGAATGGCTAGGCCCCCATTCATTGGACGCTACCGAATACCCCGAACTGTACCGAAAGAACAAGCATCGAGCGCAAAGAAATCAACTGCTTTATACTAGCTCGTGGAAAAGACCTTGATATATATTGGATATTGGATCCAAAGCGTTCTTTTAAAATGAGTTGTGCAGTTAGAGGGAAGGCGAAGTCTGGCCGTACTTGGAAAACAGTTCGTACCGCAAAGTAAGCAACTTTTATCTTCTAACTAGATCGAAATGGTGAATTTTATGCCAAAGTCTCTCTTATTCACTACCTCATACTTAGGATTTATACTTTCACTCATTTAATCTTAGTTGTACGGCATTCATGCTAGTGGCTATCGTATCAAAACGATATCCTGTGATTCTGGAATGTAGAAAAGTGGAAACACTAACACTTTTGTCATTTTGTATATGGTTTTTGTTCGGTTGATCACTTAATCTTTGTTGCACTGAGATGATCACCAGTCTTATGCCAATGCAATGATCGTTACTCCTACTTGGTTATACTTATGAGTTTAAAACAATCAGTTCAAATACTGTCGAAATCGTTGACCTGTTGAGCTCACCCATGAAGTTCAAGTCTTTGTGTCCAACTCAAACGAACATTCACTTATTTCGTGAGGCGGAAAAGTTGTCTAGTGTTGCCTATCGCCGCTGCCTTTTCCATCGCTTTTGCTTTCGCCACCCACCACTGTTCACGGTCGTTACGTAGGCTTTTTATAAGTCTGCGCCTAAGCTGACTACGCTCTTCATCATGTTCAGAGTCAGGTGGGATGCGTTTTCGAGCATCTATCAGTTCGGTGGATGCGACCGATATCCACTGCTTCATCTTAGCCTTGTGGTTTACCTTGCTAGCAGATACCATTGCTGTTTCCACAGCCTTCTTGATATGATTCCAACCTGCTTCAGGATGGGAATCACTTGCATGGCCGCCTAACTGTTTTTCTAGTTCCTCCTGAAATATTTTCTTAGCTTGATTATCATCAAGTGAAGCCCTAAGAGGCTTGTTTACGGTGTATTTCCTACGTCCAGCAAACTTCAAACAAATACGTGCTCGCACTAGGGCATGATCTGAATCTAGACATGTGCCCCAGAACGAGCGACAGTCCTCTTTCGAACCCCTCCATCGGTGGCTGATGGCCATATGATCTAGTTGTGTCCAACGTTGAGACGACTTCGGGGTTCGCCAGGTCAAAAGGTGTTTTTCTTTATGCTTAAAATTAGTGTTTGCTAGAAATAGTTGGTTATCTGAGCACAGTTGCAACAGACGGTCACCATTGTCTGTTCTCTGAGCCGCGAGACCGTAACATCCACCTAGGTGTCTTTCATTTTCACTTAGTCTACCTACCTGAGCATGAAAGTCACCAGCCATTATTACTACATCAGAGCGCCAACCTGCGTCACTTATGGCGTAGGCGTGATATCCGTTCGCTAACCAAAGGGCGGGTGTACTGCGCAGCAGTTCGTTCCGTTCTCTTATACGGCTGTGAAACATGGCCGTTAAGAGTAGAAGATGTTCGTAGGTTACTAGTATTCGATCATAGATGTTTAAGAAGCATTGCTCGTATATCGTGGGACAGCCGAGTAAGCAATGCTGTCGTTAGGAAACGAGTACTAGGTAAGGATGGCAGATCAATAGATGAAGTGGTGAAACTTCATCAGTTGAGGTGGTTGGGACATGTGTTACGTATGGCTAACCACCGACTGCCCCGACGAGCTATGTTTTGTGGTGTAGGAGTAGGTTGGAAGAAAGTTAGGGGCGGCCAGACCAAAACATGGCAGAAATCCATGAAGTCACTGACAAGCGGACTGAGTCATGTTGGTAGATGTAGACTACCTGGTTGGGGTCCGCGAGATGATAATAATCGATGGCTAGAGACCTTGAACGACATGGCTCAAAATCGTTTGCAATGGCGCAGGTGCATCCACTCTTTGAGCTCTCTCAAATCCTAATCTTCTGGATTCGTCAATACCCCTGCCTTTGTCTTTATAATCTTATCTCACTGAATTATATTTTTTGAATAATATCTTCGAACTCTAGTCTTTTTTATTAACATTAATAACTCTACTATCCTTATCACTATGGGATTTGATTTGACATTTGCGTCTGTGTGCTAATGTGGTATGGCAACATGAACTTATGTACATACGTACGAAGTTCCACGTTGCAACTGACTGACTGACTACAGTGTTTATGTATCACTTCTCGGCTCTCTGACTTAAGATCATGTGTAGAACTTATTCACAATCTTTTGGTAAAATAATTATTATTTATACATTGATTCCTATTTCATTTAGACATAGTTCAATTAAAAAAGACAAAGGTCTACGTACTTCATTTCAAACTCGTAGAAAAATTGAAGCAGAAATTCAAAAAATTCGTATTGAATCTATTGAACGAAAAAAAGCAAAAAGTGAATTAAAAAAAGCCAAACGTCTTAAAGAAGAAGAGAAACGTCAAAGAAAATTAGAAAATGAACGTCGTTCAGAAATTGTTGAAACGGTTAGTTAGTTAGTTAGTTGATCTATTCAAAAATTATTATCCTAATTTATATAGATAACAAATCCTGCTAAAATAAAACGTTTACGAAAGAAACAAATGCGTACAATTGTTACACGATAATAGAAAAAAAACGACAGATTATATTTTTTATAATATGAACTACCAAATGTTTTAGTCTTTTTTTTTTCTTCTTGTTGTTTGTGAATCGATTGAAACTGGAATATAATTGATGAAGTAGTGTCATTGTTGTATTTGGTATTAGTGAATGCTACAACTTACAGTCGAACCAGTTGCCTGATAAATTCGAAAAAATGAATATATATATATATATATATATACGAAGGAAAGCCTACAAACTCTTTCAAAGCGAAGATAGATATCAGACAAGGTTGCTTACTCTCTTAATAAACTTATTGTAAATCATGATTATACTTAGTTGAATTTATATATGGATAGGTGTATTTCGATTATTGAAACGATAAACTGTTTATCCAAACAATAAATGTAAAGATATCAACTGAAGAAGGACAAGCATTGATCGATCAACTCAAGTCCCCTTACATATTACCAACAAAGCATAAAGTTAAATAAAACAGTTCAAGTATTAATAGTATCTGTGAATCTGAAACAATTTAAATATTGAGAGAGAAAAATTGTTAGTTATCATTATAATAGTCAAGAGCTTAAGGGTTCGCGCGAAAAATTGAAGGTCCGGGGCTTCTGAATGTGCATTGCTGATGAGTCCCACACTAGAACGAAACTGCTGTCCATTGGTTCAACGTTTCCAATAATGGTCTAGTATGAATCGATTCATGATTTCAATGAAACATTGTCAGTTAATCTAATGACTTAAATAAATATTCAGAATCATAAATATTCGATTCTATAACCATAAATCAATAAGAAAGTAACTATATGTATTTATAAGATATTTCTGATCTGAAATAAAATAATGATGGATTGTTTTGGCCAACACAATCAGCTAATTGGTTAAAATGTTTATTCAGTGTTTTTATGTTGGTAATCTAATGTTTCGTTTATTCAAACTAGTAGTAACTTATGCGTTAGGTCATTGTTAAACGATTTTGTTGTTGTAAACAGCCTTAAGCTTTAAAAACCTGAAAAGAAAACCAATGAATACTTCACTGAGAAATTTCATATGTATTATTCCGTTTACTAACCTGAAGAAAACAAGTGTGGTGTGTACTACTCACAACGAAACTAATAAGTGTATTATTCAGTGAGGGTTCGCTTAGAGTTACTGCCAAAGTGAAGAGTATGTAATCCGGATTTATGGCGCAATAGAAGTGTCTTGAAGACTATGAATGCAGCCAAGAATACTCCTCTTTTGCTTATAAATGTTTCAAGGTGATGTGTATACATTTTGACTAATAAGCCGTCTCCAAATAAGTTGCTAATCCTATCTAGTTTTTACTGTCTCCGTTCATTTCACAAGAATAAAGATTTGAACAGAATAACACGAATTCATTTTTTATCTCGATAGGATCTTATTGGCGGCTTACAGTATGTAATATTTAAAAATCATAATTGTAAAGAGGATCAAAAATATTCATAATCATAAGCTTATTTGGAAGGTGCTTACTTACTCCTGCTACCCCTAAGGGGAGGAAGCATGGGCCGCCTAGCAACGAACTTTTTTCTTACTGGCGTTTTTTAGCGAGTCGGGTTTCTACGAGGTAATGTCTCTAATCCCATGCCAGACCCTCATTTACCCGGACTTGGGATCGGCAGTAACGCTTTAGGTGGGGTTTGGTTGAAAGGTGTACTTTTATGGGTATAAGGGCGGATGTTACTACCCGGCTGCCTCAAACCGTGGAAGGGTTCTGGTTGTCAGAAGGGGCATCGGCTTCATAACTTCCGAAGGAACTCGGCCTTCATCATGAGACGTCATAACTCTTCTAGATGAAGACCTTCCAACTCCCAGAGCAGAGTTTATATGGTTTGAATTACTTTTTCTTTTTAATGGTTTTTTAGCGAGTTAGCTTTTTGCGGGACGGGGTCGCCAACCCTAATCCAAACCCTCCTCCTTTATCCGAGCTTTGGAACGGCGGTAGCTCCGAAGGGTCTACAGGCGGAGTTTGGTTGAAAGGTGATGCGTAGTACAGATCTTAAGTGAAATCAAGATATCCCTTAGAATTTCTCCTGAAACAGTTGTTTCCATCTATCTCAGAATTTCCCCATCAAGCATGATTTTCTTGGTCCTCGTCGTGTTGTTTTTCAGGATCTGGTTTATTTCTTGTGTATGTTAAAGCCTACTTCTACATCAGTTACCACTATGCTGGCTGTGTTCATCTGCATTTGTTGCTGCGCCTAAGAAAGAAGGGTTGCCATCTGTGGAATCCGAATCCTCGAAATATGTCCGAGGTGTCCACTGTATCCCCTGCTTCTCTTAAGATGGCAGAGTTCTCATAATCCAGTCAACCAACAGAATAAAAGAAACGGGCAAGAGCAGGCAGTCTTGTTTGACACTAGTATTCACTGGGAACTCACCTGTTAAGTGCTCTCTCACGAATTCGCAGTTCAGTCCCTTGTAAGTTTCGTATGATAGTGTATATCTTGTCAGGTACACCATAATGTTGAAAGAGATTCCAGAAGCTCCCTCTATCCACTCGGCCAAACACTTTCTCAATGTCAAGTAGGTTGATATTTGGCGACGAGTTCTATTCAGTCGACTGTTCAACAATGATCCGTAGTATCTCGATTTAGTTGATATACAGATGATCCCTAACGAATCCGGCCCCTTGATTGTCTACTAAATTTTTCATTCAGTTCAATAACACCGTAATTGGGTTGGTAACCTCAAGTACAACCTTATTTTATCCGGGCTTGGGACTTGCTTTAAACCTAAATGGGCTCTAGACGGTGTATAGTTATTGTGGCATCGTGCTTTTTTAAAAAGTTTATTTGATCACCCAACAACTAATGAAGAAGTGTTTCTATATATTTGTTGGATAAATGATAACTCTCCATTTGAGAAAAATGTAGGAAAGGAAAATTAAATGATCATTCTAAATATGAAGAAATAGTAGATCATGGAACATACAAATGGAGGTCGATGTCAGGACAGGTTGACATATTGTTCACAAATGTTAGGTTTGAATCAGAGGACAGCTAGATCCTCTGTTGTGTAAAAGCCTGGAATTTGTTTTCCTTTCGAGCCAAATCTATTATCTGTATAAGTGATTTTGAAACAGGATTCTGCTAGAATTGACTGGATGTTCTCTTTGAATCTTTCTCTGGTTTTTTGTTATATCAGAACGATGATTGACAGATCGGTAACTCCTATGCCTCATTTACGGATTGTTTATATTTGTATTGTATAACTATTAAAACAATTAACATTTAAATATATCCCGTTTATCATTCGGTTAATTCATTACCAATGTAAGATTTACGATTCTTAAATCTTCTGCCAGTTTGTTATTAAGTCTACCTTACAGTCGCTTTTGAGTCATTCATGTTTAGTTGTTATTTTCTATTTATTGTGATACAGTTTGTTCTCCTTCTATATGAACTACGTCTATTTGAAATTTAAATTAAGTACATGCTGGTTGCTGAATTTTTGTCTCATAGGTAATGCAGTGAGGGAAAATTGCGAATCGTAATCTAATGGGAACTTAGCTTCAGACTCAAGGTGGACATGTAATTGATCCATTTGGCGATATTAAGCCATAAAATAAATAGTGGATGCGAAATCAGTATTGCAACTAGTGATTCATCATGTAATTTCAGTCAGCAGTAACAATACAATACTTTTGTAGTCCTTTATATAGCCAGACAGGTTAATATTCGGAGGTGCATTTCATAAGATCTCACGTTGTTAGGTCAGTGTCACCTGCTTCATGTGGGCATGTAAACTAATAGATGCACAGTAATCCGACCGAAAGCTGAAGTTTCTTTTCTATACAAATCAGTGGTCGATCAGAGTAGGCTACAAATCTAAGCCGAATAGGATGTGTTTTTAAAGATTATAAAAGTTTATTTTCGAAAATCTCTACTGCTGTAACGTTTTTAAACTATATTGATGAATAGACTTCTCGTTGGTTGTTTTAGCTTCAAATTATTGTTGATAATTCTCGGTAAAAAAATTCGTCCGTAATAGGTATTTCCCATAGTTTATCAAGTTTGATTCTAATTGTATCATCGGTGTAGACTCGTCTGACCTTAGTTTCTATTTTCGTTTAATGGGACCCAATTTTGGAAATATTTACTTAGCCATTTTGTGTTGATCCTTGTAAGGAACCATTAAGTTTCCTTACTAACAAAACGTCCAAAAAGTAGAGTCCCGTCTCGTATTGCATTGTAGATAATAATAAAAGTCAGCCAGCATAGAAAATTAGGTTCCATATTTTTCTTTGATACCCCTGAGCCGATATTTAACAGTGTGGTGCCTGACTTCGATCAATCCGCGAGGGAACTCTTGGAGTTCCAGTGAGAGGTTATGAACAGTGTAGTTCAACCGCGTCAGTGATGGTCGCTCAATATCTTGGATTGGTTTGGATTAGACATTGACACTGTTGGACACCGACTCAATGGTCTACAGGCTAAGCGTTCGCGCATGAGAACGACAGCGCTTGGTTCGATTCCCACTTGCGGGAACGTGGCTGCAATCAACCAGCACCAATGTAGAACTTCGTACGTAAGTACATCAGTTCAAGTTGTCATACCACAATAACAGAGATGTAATCATCAATTCAAATCCAATAGCAGTAGAGGTAGTGAAAGTATTAGAGGTAATGGAGATTAGCGTTCGAAGATATTATTGAAGAAGTAGAATCTAGTGAAATAAACTTAAAAAGAAATAGATAGGGGTGATGAGGAATTCAGAAGGTTGGGACTTGAGAGAACACAACGAATGGATGCCCCTGCGCGATTGCAAACGGTTTTGAGCCGCATCATTCAGGGTCTCTAACCATCGATTTTTATTATCTCGCGGGCCCCAACCAGATAGCCGATACCTACCAACATGACTCAGTCCACCTGTCAGTGACTTCATGGATTTGTGCCATGTTTTGGTCTGGCCGCCCTTAACTTTCTTACAACCTATTCTTATGTCGCAAAACATAGCTCGTCGAGGCAGTCGGTGGTTAGGCGTACGTAACTCATGCCCCAACCACCTCAACTGATGGAGTTTCAGTATTTCATCTTTTTACCTGCCATCCTTACCTAGCGCCCGTTTCTTAACAGCAGCATTGCTTACCCGGTTGTCCCAGGATACATGAGCAATGCTTCGGAGACACCTGTGATCGAAGACAAGCAACCTACGAATATCTTCTACTCTGGCTGGCCATGTTTCACAGCCATAAA